AGAGATTACCAAGCTAAATTGCTACAATCCACTAGATTGAAGGAGAACAATCAATACATGGAGGTAGAGTTGTCAATTCTTCCTTCAATCCTTGAAGATCCTCTTGCTTGGATGGAGAATTGAGAAGAGCTTGATCTAGAAGATGACCTAATCTAGAGAGAGAATTTTCTAAACTGCAAAGCTCTGAAAATTACAAATGAAAGTTAGATTGTGAGTGTCTCCCTGAATCCCCGCGACAAGCCTTATTTAAGTGCTGAATCCTATAGCGCATACACCATTGCGTACGTGCCCTGATTTTCACTTATTCCCAGCCACGAGCGTGGATATGCTTTGTGGGATCTTCTGTTTCCGATCCACAACGGTCCATGAACGTGGCCCACTCGTCAACGGGTGTTCGGCACCTTTCTCCATTGCATTCTTCCTTGGTTCGCTCCGATTCAAGCCGTATGTCTTCCTTTAAGCTCAAGACCCTTCAAAACACTAAAGTGTACATGTTCATGGGCATTTGCAACACATTAACACATTTCATAGCATTTACACCATAAATCATCCCCAAAGAACTTCAACTAAGCAGAACACAACCCCTTAATGACACATAAAATGTGGTATCTTTGACACTTATCAAATGTCTACGATCGTGGCACGCTCGTGGATTGAGAACAGAAGCTGCCACCAAGCAAACCACGGTCGTGGCCAAGGCACCGGATCACTTAAATGCCTGAACCACGAACGTGGCTGGTTCGTGGTCGACTCGTAGATTTGGTCTTGGGCGCAAATTGAAGTGCCACATAGGAGGAAAAGCTATAAAAACGCTAGATTTAGATATTTTAGGGGAGTTAGTGAGTTTTAGTTGAAGTTAGAGTTTGAGATCACTTTATATTTCCTAGATTACATCTCTCTAGCCTTTCAAGAACATTGGATTGGAGATCTTCATGAGTGAAGGAATCTTGACACAATTCCTTGATTCTAGAAGTAATTTGTAGAGTGAATCCTCAATTGAATTCAAGTTTGGTAACTCTCTTGCTTTCTTATTTCAATTTCATTATTTGATTGATCCTTGATTCAATGATGATTCATCTAGCTACAATGAGTGGTTAGGTTTCTTTTAGAAATTGAATTGTGATTCTATTGCATGATGCTAGTGTGAAATGTAATGCTTAATTAGATTGTGGATTGCAATTGTGATTGAATTCCTGTTATAAGTGGTTGCTTGATTGCATCTTGTGAGTTAGGGTTCAACTCCCTTGATTGTCCTAGGATCAATTGATCTAAACAAGAGATTGCTAGATCAATTGTACTCTCCATTCCATTTGTATTTCCCTTCTCAAGATCCGAGAGGACTAAGACCGGAACCCGGTGACGACAAGGCGTTCGATCAAATGACTCTTAGAAATATAATCACTTAACAAGTGTTTCTATACATTTGAGAGACCTAGTAGATCGAGAGGTGAACGACATCAGTAAAGCCTTGCTTGAATCACACAATTGCAATGTCTCAATCTTACCTTAGACACTAGAAGCATCATGTAATAGATGATCAATTCTATTCCTTGTTTTTCTCAATTTGATTCAATTGATTGATTGTACTCTTGTGACCTTGAACCAATGAACACCAAGCTCCTTGTGAACCATGTTGGGTTGGACTTCCCTCCTATGTGGTAAATAGCTCATGTTTGGACCAAGCCAATTTTTATCCACTATATTTTTGTTGAGCCCTAATTATTATTATATTATATTGTATAATAATATTAGGGAATATAAGAAGTTGGAGCAGCACACGTTTTTGGCATGTGAAGGGGTGAAGAATTAATTCTCTTTATTTGTCTTCATAAATTCCCATGTTCAAGTAGCGAAGCTATATAAGGAACAAGTTATTCTTCTCTTTCATTTGACATTGATTCGGCAGTAGTGCAAGCCAGTAGAGAGCAGTGAAACAAAACCAAGTTTCTTTTGCTTCTTTTTGTCTCTTTGGCCAGTCTTGTGAGGACATTCTCCACTACTTTTAGCGACACGACGACAACGTGTTCGGCGGGTTTTGTCACACGATTGATGAATTTGTCATGAGGTTTGTCGAGGTTCTTAGGTTCTTTATTCATCAAATATTTTTGGAGGTCAACTTGTTTGTTACAGGCATATTTTTGGATAATCTCGTAATATTTGTATTCACTTTCATCTTGTTCGTGATGGTTGAATATTTTGAGTAAAAGATATTATTCATGTTTATCCCGTGAAATATTATAGAAGTCTCTGGCCTAGAGTTGTTGTATTTTGATGATTTTTGGATGTTTGGCTCGTGTGGTAGGCAGAAACTTTGTATCCAAGATTTGTTATAATAGTGGAATTGTTGTTGGTGGTGGTCCCGTGGTGTTTCCCCGTGGTTTTGGGGTTTTTCACGTAAATCATGTGTCTCTTGTGTTGACATTTATTTTGGGCTATTGAGTGTTGTCTCGTATTTGTGCACCATGTCGGGTTTGTGATTTTCATTGTCACATGAAGTGGGATTTTTTCCTAAAAAACCATGTATATGATAAGCATAAACTTCATTATATACAATTTAGCATTTTCAATTTGTTATCCTTTGAGAACGATATAAACTCGGGAATCGTGATTCCTATCTTTTGACAACCACCACCACTGTCAAACCACACCAAAAACCGTCTTGTCAACTATGAATAACATTCATGGCCGTATTGTTCGCTAATGATTTCTTCTTTTCGTCTGGTGTCTACTGATTAAGTGGTGTTTCCTTCTCTTCATTTTGGACCATCATCATGTGTGGAGTCCAAACATTTTCCATGGCATCCCAACATTCTTCATCCAATGATTTGATTAAGTCTTTTATCATAGCCTTCCAATAAACATAGTTGCTTACTCCTTTCAACAATGGTGGTATTGAAATTGAGGCACCATCTTCCATTCTGCAAAACAATACTCGTGTATCCCTAGGATCTCGCTAGAAAATTGAGCGGCATTGCTCTGATACCAATTGAAATTATGTAATGCAGATATGATACACAATATAAAGCAATAAATGAAGCACCTAAATAAGTACACAACTGAATTTGATGATGCAGTTGGAGAACACCTCCTAATCTGCGGGGCCACGCCCAAAAACTTTTTCACTCAAGTTCAACTCACGGTTTTTACAATTACAAGATTCAATGAATTACAAAACTAGATTTACCACATATTTAAATATTAACCTCATAAAACAACCCTATAAAAAAATTTACAAGTATAGTTTGAACTAATTCTACCAATTAAACAAACTGTAACCAATTTGTATTTTAACATAACTTGTACTAATATAAAGTGGAGCCGATTTCTCCAGATAGTTCTGAAGTTTCCTTGCAGCACCTTTCAAATAATTCCTTGTAGCACCTTCCAGAATAATATTACTATTTTTTCCCATTCTGAAAACTTCAAAAACTTCATTACAACCTTCCCTGTTTATAGTGTTAGGACACCCCGTTATTAGGGAAGTTATTTCCTAATTTCAGAAACTTCATTACAACCTTCCCTGTTTATAGTGTTAGGACACCCCGTTATTAGGGAAGTTATTTCCTAATTTCATGCTACATTATCCACCATGATCTCATTCATGCATACACGTACATACACCACTCCTGCAATGTTTCCTACTTTCATGCTTATTCACCATGATCTTCATACACGTATACCACTCATAATGCTTATTCACCATGATCTTCATACACGTATACCACTCATAATTGTTTCCTAAATTCATGCTTATTCACCATGAACTTCATACATAGATGTACACCACTCATTCTTTCCACCTTTCATGCATCATCTCATGTTAACCTCATGTTTGTTGATCTAATGCCAATTAACGAGTACTAACTAATATATATATATACATATGTATATTATAAACATACGTTATATATATATATATATATATATATATATATATATATATATATATATAGTACTAACATCTTTCATGGTGTATGGAGTTGTTTTATCATCATGAAAATATTGTATGACACCAAATTTCGGTCTAGGATTATTTGCAGAACTTGAAAAATTAAAATTAGCTCATTTTCCATTGCTTCTAGTAGCAAAAGAGGATCCGAGAACCAAATGACTGCTCTCTCCCCCTTTTTGGCATAATCAACTTAGAGCTCAACATTGCCATCAATTAGATCTACTTTAGAAGATATTGCAGTATTTTCATTTCTCAAGGCAAACAATTCATTATGTAGATCATAAATTTGATTTTGTTTTTGATGAATTATTACTTAAAGTAGGCTCTTGTTCTATGCCATGGAGAAGTTATCTGACCTCTGTTACTATTCTTCCAATGCCTCTTTAATTCCAAAACATAGCATCCCATCTTTTCTCCATTTTCTACACTTACTAAGGTAATCATGTAAAGGTCCAACGACTAAGTAATTAACAAGATCATTATACCAAGGAACCACATCTGACATTTGGAACAATTGTTCATCAGGGAAAGTTTCAGAAATAGGAATTATATCTTCATTTCTTACCAATTTGCTCAGATGATCTGTCACTGGATTTTCAGCTCTCTTAAGATTCTTTATTGTCAAATCAAACTCCTGAAGTAGTAAGATCCATCTTATTAGCCTCGACTTAGATTCTTTTTTTTTTCTTAAAAGATACTTCAATGCTTCATGGTCAGAAAAAACTATGACTTTAGAACAAAGCAAATAAGATATGAATTTATCTATAAAAAAAAAAAAAAACAATAGCCAAAACTTCTTTCTCTATTGTGGAATAACTGCACTGTGTAGCATTCAATGTTCTTGAAGCACAGTATATGACATGACTTTACTTCCCAACTCTTTGGCCCAAAATAGCTCCAACTACATAGTTGCTGGCATCGCGCACAATTTCAAAGAGTAAATCCAATTTAGAAGTTGAATAACAGGCGCGCTTGTCAGCAATGCCTTATGCCTGTCAAATTACCCAAATTCTTAATACATGCCTTATGTCTTTGATTACCCAAATTCTTAATACATGCCCTTGTTTCTTATTGAAACTATCGAGTGTTATAAGCAAGTGCTTTAACAATTTTATCTAAAGACATACCAAAATTTGAAGCTTGGGGTTGAAATTATTGAGGTACTAGGAATTGTCTAAAATTCTCTCTAAAACCTTAGTGTGCCCCTTGGTTCCCATAGCTCAAGTTTGGATGATCTCACCATCCGGATTATACTAGTTTGAAAAGGATCATATTTTTTGGTTGGGTTGACCAGGAAAATCCCCCTATTGCATTCAACTCTTGATTTGGATTTTGCAATGTTGGGCACATGTCTATGGAATGCCTGACAAATGAACATACTTCACATGTTCCTGTGGACTGCATTTTTCCTACAACCATTTGGCGCACAAAAGTAGTCAAATTAGAAATTTTATTCTCAAAGTTGAGAAGTACTTACCTCATTAACTCTATGGATATACCCATCCGCTCGTGTCCTGTATTGTTGAGAGTTTTCTTCCATGGTTGATATTAATTGTCTAGCATCAGTGGTTGTCTTGTCAGGCAAAGAACCAGCACCGGCTGCATCTTTCATACTTCTATCCATAGGTAACAACCCTTCATAAAAATATTGTATCAAGTGTTGTTTTGAGATTTGATGGTGTGGACAACTAGAACACAACTCCTTGAATCTTTTCTAATATTCATACAATGTTTCCCGTGTACATTGCCTTATCTCATATATTTCCTTCCTTATATTAGTTGTCCTAGATGTAAGGAAGAATTTTTCTAGAAATAGTTTTTTTCGCAGCATTTCACGTGGTAACTGAATTAGGGGAAAGATTATAGAGCTAATCTTTTGCTTTATCCTTTAATGAAAATGGAAAGGCTCTAAGGCTTACACTAGCACAGAGATGGCCTTTAACGTCGGTTTTTATGCCATTTAACGTCGGTTAAAAACCAACGTTGTTCTGGTTGACGTTATAAACTAATTATACGACGTCGGTTATATAAATAACCGACATCGTATATTATTTTTGTTATGAAATAGACGAATGTATTATTTCCTATACATCCTCATAGAAGAGAATACACAACACAACCCTATATATACAAGCTAGAAGACACCAAACAAGGAAACAAATATATATTATTTTTTTATTTTATTTTTTTCATGGTATTAATAAAATACTTGGTAAATAAATATATAGCATTATTTTGTATATAACTTTGATATTTAATTAAAAAATAGCGTACAAAAAAGATAATAGACAATGTAGTGAATATAATCAATTGTTGAATTTGAATGTAAAGAATTTTTAAATTGGAGAAATATAAAGACAATATAACTAATAGAATTATTTCTCTTAATTAATTTATTGATAATGAATACTTTTTTTAAATAAAGATCGACAGTGTAGGAAGAATGTGACGAATATAATCAATTGATGAATTTGAATGTAAAGAATTTTTATATTGAAAAAAAATAAAGACAATATAACTAATGAAATTATTTCTCTTATTTAATTTATTGATAATGAATAACTTTTTTGAATAAAGACATGGTAGACACATAATTCTAAATTAAAGAAATGCATATATATTATTTTTGGCTCTAGCTACTAAATTATTATTTAATTTAATAAGAGTAAAATAGAATATTAATTATGACAACTTTGATTGAGATAAGGTTCGAACCTAAGACCTTTTTATTGAAATCAATGAATAAGTTAACGGTTAACTAACAGAAATTAACGAAAAAGATAATATTTAAGGGAAAAATTAACGGATAATTATATTCATTAAGGATAAATTAGAAAATCTTAAGGGAAAAAATTAAAATCTGATCAATCTGAGTCATTCATTTGATTAAAAAATTTGACCGCCATTTTTTCTACCCATTATAGGCCTAACTCTCTTGCGCTCTTATTAGTATAGTAGATATATATATATATATATATATATATATATATATATATATATATATATATATATATATATATATATATACACTATAACAATTTTTTTATTTATTAAATATAACTTACAACGTCGGTTTTTTACAAAAAAAAAAAAAAAAAAAAAAAACCGACGTGGTATGTTAATTTTTTTAAAAATTAAATACATACAATGTCGGTCGTATGTATTTAATTTTTTACAAAATTAACATACCACGTTGATTTTTTGTAAATAACCGACGTGATATGTTATTAAAAATTTTTTTTAAAAAAATATTAGTGCCTACAACCAAGGAACTGGAGACTCAAATAGTGCCTCCATGCGTCACAATTAGTTTTATGCATGGACCCCAACCATCAAATACCAATACTGATAATTAAAAACTCTAATTGCATGGACCTCACCCCAGTTTTTCCACTTGAATGTGAACATCACAATTCTAAAACAGGCTAATTAACTGCTAGTGCTCTCAAAAATATTCAACCCTTGTGCAACCACATCAATTGAGCTTGTATTTCACCCTGTACAAAGAGTACCATTCTTACCCAAGTCCTAAACACTACTAGTTCAAGAGAATTAGTTAAATCATATCAAAATTCACAGAAAAAATATCACACATACACACTATATCTATACAAATACAAATACAACTTACCAAAAGCCAATTAACAGTCAACACCACAGCGTCGGAGCTCAACCTGAGGGATTGGGTAGCAAAGGAGTATGCATGGCATAGAAGTTGGCAAGAGCAGCAGAAATTGATTGAAAACAATTCTTTTCATCCTCCCAGTCAATCTACCAAAGTGAATCTGTCCTTATCATTTTATGAACTCGAGTTTTTTGTGATTTTATCCCTGTAACAGGCAAGATTAGCTAATTGGATTATAAAAAAGAAAATCTAAAAAGTCAGAACATTTCCACACATCAGATCAAGTACATTTGCCATAATTCAAGGATAAATTGGGAATATATCCACTATACCAGATTGGAGGGATCTTTTAATTTTGTGGACCTTGGTTTGTAGGCAAAGGACTAGATGAAGAAGGATCCATTGTCTGCACCATATTAGAAATAGAGCATAAAGTTAGAAAAAGAAAAAGATGGCATGTAGAGTATGACTCATAGTGAAGCATGCAAGGATTTGGGTTTAACTTCAGGAATAAATTAAATGAAGATCCAAAAGTATAAAGTTTATTCTGATTAAGTAACTATGCTCTCAGAAATATAATGTCCACAAAAGTACACATAAAAAAACTACCATGCATTATTGCACACTGTGCTCTGTGTTGTGAGAGCAATATTCACTTTGAATGAGTTGGTTTTTCACTTTGGGTAAACTACTGTTTCATTTTCAATTCTTAAAATAATGTTCACTTAGAATGAACTAATGTCCGCATACAGCGAATCACTTTTGATGAACTAATGTTTCACTTGAAATTAATATTTCACTTTCGATTTTGCATTGGCACATGGTAGTTTACTGTAAAGCAGGAGAGTATTTTCACATTCAAGATCATGGATCAATATCAATATCACATGTTACTTTCCAAAAGATTTCTTACGAGTACCTGCTCTTGGAATGTCCTTGACTCATTGGAACTTCTCAGCTTTAATTCTACCACAGATTGTATCTTCTCAATAATAACCTCAGCTCTTGGTTCAAAAGGCTAACCTGTTTATTAAACACAACTCTTAACACTCCAAAAGTATAACACTTATTATATAAAACATAAATAATAGCAACTCTTAAATCTGAGAGAGAAAATTTTGAAGGGAAGATGGGAAACAGAGGTGGGAGTAGACCTTCCCACGAGCATCAATTAATGAAACTAACAGCACAATCATCAATACATCTCTCTTTGTGGGGTGTACATTCACATCAACATGCTCAGCAGGTAAAGTGATTGACATATACACAAATGGTTTTGATGCTTTAGGCAATGTTGCACCACGAACTATTTCAATTGCCCTCTTGAGAGCACCAAAATCTACAAGTCTGTCTGGAAAAGAAAATAAAGAAACGAAATATCTTCTTTAGGAAAAAAAAAAAATATACTAGAGAAACAGTCTAGACTTCATAGACCATTCAATTTAACGAAACATGAGCAGAAAAATTGAAAAAACAAATAAAAAATAAAATGGCCATTGAGCTCCACTCTTTGGCCAAGAAAAAAAAAAAAAAACCAAGAATGATTGTTATTTTACTTAATAAGAGTGAAAATAGCAGTGAAAAATATGAGATAGAGTGCTAAACAAAAGAATACGAATATCTACCAATAGCAAACCATCAAATGTATAAAATATATGTTGTATTGTTATGTAAGTCATAATACCCATTTTAAAATGTCCACATGCAAAAAGAAACAGGAAAGGACAATCTTTTCTTAAGTGGTCATGTTTAACAGTTACAAACAGATTATAAAATTGGTAAATAAAAGCTTCAAGAAACCAATTAATATATTCAAGAAACAGATTCATAAGAAAGCTTATTATAACAAAAGGTTGGTAAAATACTAAGATGCAAACCTATAAACAAGCACAAGGTTGGCTCAATTAATTGGATGGCATTAAAATGTGCAAACCGCAGGAGAACTTGCTGGTACATGAGCTCTTTGCTGTGAAGCATCAAACAGAAGGAATCAAGGAAATATTATCAAATCAATTTTTACAGTAAATCCAACGGAATGGAAAAAGCAAGCAGAAAATAAATTAAATTCATATTCTCAATATAGTATACAAGAGCATAATGTTTAAACATAACTAGTGTCATATTATTACTAGTAAAGTTAAACTCAGTTTACGGGTATGCAGCTACTTCACATGACAACTTAGATCGAACTCATCAAAGAATAAAGGGAAAATAGCATATAAATCGGTACTAGAAGCATTTCCCCTTCTTGCTATACAAATATAAACAATGCATGGCTTAGATCTGGTATAAGAATTAAACTGCAGTTCTGATACATTTCTAAATACTGGCCACAAGTATTTGTATCTTCTAATCTGTTAGCCATTAGCAGAGGGTTCTATAGAATTGTCAACATATGCAGTTACAGATGGCTGCACAAGCACATGCTTTACTAGACCTTGATTAGAATGTTCTTGCAAATAAATGCTTTCCAGTTTTCAAGGAGTTATTTTTTAAAATTTATGCCACGATTAATTTAGAAAATTTGAAGTAGGCCTTAGAAATGAGCTTGAAACACTCAACATTCAGCTTGGCAATGCAACACAAAATAATGGACCTATAATTCTGAACATCCATAATAAAATAATTATTGTCAACTCCCAAAAATTCAAAAATTTCAAAAAAAAATATACAAAAACTCACAAGGTAGGTCGTGCATGCGGGGAGGTGGGAACGCGGTGCGGCGGGAACGCAGTGCGGCGGTTCATTTGTGATCCAGTGCGGTGGAGGCTGTGCCGCGGGGCCTGCAGTGGTTGTGCGGTTGTGGCTGTGTTGTGGGCGCTCGAACTTTGTTTGGGGAGAAGAAGAAGACGAAGGCGATGGCGGTGGTTGTGAGGGGCGGTGTGGCGGTGGGCGTTGGCTGAGCGCCGATTTGTGGTGCCACGGAGAGGGGTAGAATGACTAAAATGTGTAGTGACGAACTTGTATTCCCGAAAATGTGTAACTATTTTTTTGGACAAAAATATGTAAACCGAAGTTGGAATTGCGTTTTTGAGTCTGTCCCACTACTTTTTTTTTTTTTTTTTTTTTTCTGGATTTTCTTAAACCGCAAGTTGGATTTGCGGCTTAGGTATTGTATACGTTGAAATGCGTTTTACCTATACGTATCACATACTGCAAAACGCATCTACCCAGATGCGTTAAACTAATAATACGTTTAACGTATGTTAGTCATTTTTCCTCTTAGTTTGAAAAGATCTGAGAAGATTATGGACAATTAACAGACACTGAGACACATAATCATATCAATGTTGAAAAGTAGGAATAAACTTGAAATTTTCTGCAATATTCCGACTCAACCACTGCTTGAAAATGCATACATACATAATAAACTATATAAGCTCGAAGCAGCAATCTTATATTCTCAGCTTAATCGTCTTATTTAGGAGGGGGATCGGAAAGGTGATATATATATATATATATATATATATATATATATATATATATATATATATATATAGTGTCAGGTTTCTGTGAAGTCAGGTCTTCTCGTGCAGTCAGTGCGGCGTACACCATTAGGTATGCATTAATGCATCACACAGTGTTCGTAAATATGCCGTGTGGTGTATTTTTTTTTTGTGTGGTGCATTTTTTTACATTTCATTCTTGTGTATTTTCAAACACTATATGATGCATTTATGCATATATAATATTGTATGTCGCACTGACCGCACAGGAAGACCTGACCGGAACCAATATATATATATATATATATATATATATATATATATATATATATATATATATTATATATATATATATATATATATATATATATATATATATATATATATATGGTGTTATATTAAACATTGGTGACAAGGCGGAGATAATCCTTGCCGGAGGGGAGATCAACGGTGTTAAATCCCTGCGAGAACTGCTTCTTGGCCTCGTCGGTTGAGACGCTGGGAGAGATAACCACCGCCTCCCCGGGCTTCCAATTCACCGGCGTCGCAATCTTGTGCTTCGCCGCAAGTTTCAGCGAATCCAACACCCTTATCACTTCATCCATGTTGGCGCCAGTGCTCGCTGGATACAGAAAGCTCAGCTTAATCTACAAATTAAATTAAACAAGCCGTGAAAATTGTCGCGGATGTGATAATAAATAAGATAGGGACAGTAAAAAGTAACTAAAAACCTTCTTATCCGCGGCGACGAAGTGGAGAGCCCAGCAAGGAACCTGGTTGCCGGCGGCGTCCTTCTCGTCGGGATCAACGATGATGGGGTATCCGACCTGGTGTCCTTTAGTGTAAGCTTCAATGTCTTTGATCCACACTTTGTGAGACTCGACGTCGTCGCAGGACAAACCAAGCAGCTTCACTCCACGCTCCGTGAACTTGTCGGCGTAGGCCGCCATCATCCCCAGCTCCGTCGTGCATACCGGAGTAAAATCACCTGAACCATATATACAGACCCATCAATTCAGTTCAGTCACCGAAAAATCAAGAAAACAGAAAAACAACAAAACTCATTCCATGAATACATATCAGGGTGAGAGAAGAGGACAACGAAGGTGTCTATGTAGTCATGGAGATTGAAGCTGCCATGGGTGGTTTCAACTTCAACATTGGGGATCTCGTCGCAGAAAAATGACTAAAATCTGTAGTGGTGGGATCGGCGGTAGCAAAACGCATCTGGCAAATGCAATAAACGTATTATTCATTTAAGGCATCTACCAGATGCGTTTTGCAGTATGTGATACGTATACGTAAAACACAGTTGGGAAATGCGTTTTACCTATACAATACCAGTGTTGTAAAACTCGGCCGCCTAGCCGCCTAGGCGCTAGGCGGCCACTTGCCTTGGAGTTTTGGCCTATAGGCGGCCAAAACTCGGTCGGCCGCCTAGGCGGCCTGGGCGGTCAAACTCGGCCGAGTCGGTCAACTCGGCCAACTCGGCCGAGTCGACCGATTTCGTCCGATTTCGACCGTTTTGACCGATTTTGATCGATTTTGTCTGATTTTGACCGATGTCGTCTTTCATTAATTATTGATTTTAATATTATTATGACATTATGACTTATAAATTATCATTATTTCATTTATTTAGATGTATTATTTGAGTGAACGTTGAAAACAACCTCATTAAAATTGTCGAACTACAAGTCTGTCACTATTTTTTTAAATTTTTTTGGTGCCCGCCTAGCGCCGCCTAGAATCCGCCTAGGCGCCGCCTAGACCGCCTAGGCGCTAGGCGCTGCCCGGCCGCCCGACTAGCGCCTAGCGCCTACTGCAACCTTGTACAATACCTAAGCCGCAAATTCTACTTGGGGTTTAAGAAATTCCAAGAAATTCCGGAAAAAAAAAAATATTTACTGGGACAAACCCAAAAACACAATTCCCAACTTGGGTTTACATATTTTTGTCCAAAAAAGAAAAGTCAATACACATTTTTAAAAATACATGTTGGTCAGTACACATTTTAGTCATTTTTCCACGGGGGAGAGGCTGGGCGGTGGTTATTGGTATAATTGTTTGGCTGTGGTCGATTTGTGAGGCTTGGGGATTTAAAAATTTTAATAACAATATACGATGAAATAAAATAAAATAAAAACTAAAATGGTGTACGACGTCGTATTGTTGTCTTTTTTTTTTTTTTATTTATAACGTCGGTTATCGACGTTATATATTTTTTAAAAAAATTTTTAAATTGAATTAACTTTTAACGTCGATTATGTATAAAATCGACGTTAAAAGGGCGACGTTGTATGTGAATTCTGTAACCCCATGTGGCTTCATACCTGCACAAACAATTTGAAACTCTTTCAAATGTTTATGTGGGTGTTCATTAGCCAAACCTCGAAAAATTGGGAGTAAATGAATCAAATCTCTATCTCTATCTCTATCTGTATATATATTATATTATAAAGCGAAAAGGTTGGCACAACAATTTCCCCCCCAAAAACTTAAGGGCATTTTTGTGAAACCAAACTCATAAATATTAACTAACCCTATAATAATAATAATAATAATAATAATAATAATAATAATAATAATAATAATAATAATAATAATAATAATAATAATGCTATTATCACAAAATATATAAGTATTTACCTTAATAATACTAATTATTCTTATTAAACCCTCCCCATAATTCTGACAATCCTAAATTGTCTAATAATTATTTATTATTTAATAATAATAATAATAATCTCTATCTCTCTCTTTCTCTCTCTCTCTCTCTCTCTCTCTCTCTCTCTCTATATATATATATATATATATATATATATATATATATATATATATATATATATATATATATGTAAAAGTTCAGGTGTGAACTTCAGTTATCATGTGAACTTGTGCACTTATACCGGCCGTGCATTTGAGCTGATCAATGGTCATGAATTAATGTGCACGTCGACCAGGTGCACCGCATCCCATCTAGTAATTTGTACACAAGGGGTATTTTGGTCTTCTACTTAAATTGTTTTACCATTGGTCAGCAAAATGGTTGGCACAAAATTTTTTCTCCCAAAATTTATGGGCATATTTGTCAAATCAAAATTTGGATTATTTTAGTAAATTAAATTATTAATTGACCAGTTCAACAAGACTGTGGAGTACATTGTGAGGAGAAAATATAGGCAGAAAGAGAGGAAGGTTCAGCTTGAAATGTCGGCTCTGTTTGGCAAACCTAGCTGAAAAGCTATAAGCTAGGAGCTGAAAGCTGAAAAGCTATAAGCTCGGAGCTGAAAACTGAAGAGCTGTTAAGCTAGCTGTTATGATTGAAAGTGTTTGGTAAAATTAACTTTTTGATAAGCTGATAAATGTAAAAAGACCAAAACGGACATCTTCATAAAATTTAAATTAGTTTGTTTACATATTAAAATTTAACATTTTGTCTTTAAAAAAATTAACATTTTGAAATAAAACTATTATCATAATCAGGATCTATCTAGAATCTCATAATGAGGTATCAATATTGTTGCAAATCTAATAATAATAATAATAATAATAATAATAATAATAATAATAATAATAATAATAATATTTGCAGTGAAAATTGCTGATAAAAGAGAAGAGAAATGGATTTTAATTGGGAAGGGTAATTATGTCATTTCTTTAAAATAATAAGGATAAAGATGGAAAAAATGTTAGGAAGCTAGGAGCTTATTTTGAAACGCTACCTAAGGTAGCGTTCTAAAATAAGCTCTTATTTTAAGTTAGGAGCTTATTTTGGGAACATTACCAAACAGAGCTTATAGCTCATTAGTAGCTCAGAATAAGCTATAAGCTCCTAAATAAGCTTTGCCAAGCAGAGCCAAAGCAGAGCCGTCATGTAAACTTCCAACTTCCTGTTGGCCTTTCAGTGGCCCCGCGGCTAAGTCACAGATCTGAACTACCAAGTATTATTTAGTTTTTTTTTTTTTTTTTAATTGTGAATCAATATAAAGTAGGCAGATTTGTCCAAAGATAAAATAAATTTAAAGGTCAAAATAACCGAATAAGCTAACTACAATTAATAAAAAATTATATAGTCAAAAATCTTCATCCAAATTTAGAGAGATTTCAGAGACAAAGTTGAAGATAAAAATAAGAAACCATCAAATTCACACTGAAATTGATGATTTTTTACCTTTTATCTTCAACTTTGTCTTTGAATTTTCTATTGAAGTCTAGAGTTTAATAAAAAATTCACCAAAATCGAGCAAAATTCGAATTTCAAATTGAAGCAGCTAAAGGCACGAATTTTATTTAAAATAAAAATATAAAAAAAAATTTAAACATATCGATTTCTAGGAAAAAAGTCCACGAAAAAAAAAAAAATCTAACTTTAACTTAAAATTGAAAAACAAAATTACCCCTAAATACCTAGATATTATTATAGTAATTTTGTGTTAATCTTCGTTTACATTCTTTTATGAAATTATTATGATAACGACGGTGGTTTTGATAATTTTATAGGATTTTCTGAAACTTAGAGTCAGAATGTTGATTTCGAGGTTTGTACATGCTATTCAATTTTCTATGCTTTTTCATCCTACTTTGCCTTTTTCTCGAGTGAGTAGGAATGTGACGGTGAGGAAAGAAAAAAAGAAAATAGAGAGAATATTTTTTAACCAGAAGTTTCTATGTTTTCTTATACAAATTTATAATTTTAAATTTATTATAATAAATAATTATTAGGGTAAGTATAATTTATTTTATATTGTGGACACGTTATTTTTAATAATTTTAATTTAATAATATTATACCTTATAATTTATTTTATATTGTGGACACGTTATTTTTAATAATTCTTATTATCATAACATAACATAGTCCGTGCATCCCACGGGGATCATACTAGTCAGATTTTATAGCAAAATCAACCTCAATATTTGATATTCTTCTCCCAATATTTGATATTCTTATACATAGAGGTTGTTGGTTTAGATTCGGTGTATCTAGCTCCAAGTGTTCTATTGTTTGGTTTCGCCATTTTACTTACAACCTCCTCATTTATTGGATCACTGGTTGAATTTACCTCTTCAGAGCTTGATGAACTATTTCTTAACTTTGTTTCTTTCCTTAGCTGCCTTGCAACTTTCTCAGTTTCAGGGATATATTGCAATTCTCCTGAATGAGAGGAAAGAGACATGCAACACTAAGGACCACATAAGCAATCACAATGAATACTTCAAGAAACGATTTAGTTCCCAAATAATGGTGCCAAAATTTGGCAGAGTTGTCAAACCCCTACAAAATTAATACTAACCCACTCCACTAATTTGTAGTAGTGGTAAGACAAGGTCGAATCTTTAAAAAAAAACTAATGGGTCTCATTTCTTAAATTAAAGGACCAAAAATAGGAAAAATAGTTTGAAAGGAATAAATAAAATAAACTATAATTGTAAACAAGTTCAAGGATACTGAATTCTGACTAAGGAAAAGAAATGGTAAAGATATGATTTAGATCGTTGGCTCTTAATAAAAATAAGGGGAAATGGCATTTTTTCCTCTCTGAGTTATATACTTATAGTACTTTTTTCCCCTGAATTATTTAAGTGGCTCTTTTTCTCCCTGAAATGTTAAATGGACATATTTACCCTTAAAATAAATATTTTATTTATTTTTCTTCTCTAATAAGTTATTACTATAATTTGGTTCAAACCAAAGATACTATAGCAACCAAACCAAAATATTCCAATTACAATTTATAATCAAAACGCAATATTTAGAGTTTATTAAAATCGCGAACCGGAATGGCCGGTTCATGTTCCGAACTGAAAAAATAAAATACATTTATTGTTGAATTTAGACTATTTTAAAATAAAAAATAAAATTTTAAAATAAAGACGGTTCAAAATCGCGAACCGGATCTGGAACTGCCGGTTCACGGTTCATGATCCAGTTTTTTTTATTCATAAATTTAATAAATTGAAATCCAAATATTGGGTTCTAGATCTGAATCATATCCGAAAACTTTTAATTCGATTGCTATAGTGTCTGGTTCAGTTCGAACTGAACCATGGTAATCGCTACATATACGCAATAATTTGTTGGAGAAGTAAAATAAATAAAATGTTTAGTTTAAGGGTAGAAATGTCAATTTAATATATTAGGGGGAAAAATCACCACTTTTAAAATAATTGAGGGGGCTAATGTGCTTACATAAATAATTGAGGGGGAAAAAGTGCTATAAATATATAACTTAGGAGGAAAAAATGTCATTTTCCCTAAAAATAAAGTTGTACTTAGCCAAAAACTAATTAGGATAGCCATAACTAGCATTTGATCTCTTGAATTAATTGATTCAAACTAAACATTCAAACTATCAACTATTATTGGATAAACTAGTGACCATAGAGTTCCATATTCAACAAATAAAAACACTATTACACTTTAATGGAAAATAACTAAGCCTATATCACGAATTGAGATAGCTAAAACCTGCAACTTAGTCTTCCTATCCTTCATGCACTAATTACAGCAACATAATCAAATACAGGTTACTGGGTCTAATCGTTCATGACAATTACGGATCATAAACACTACTTAGATAGCAATAGAAAAAGAAGTAACCAACTAAGTTGTTAATTTAATTCATTATCAACATTTCCTAGAAATTTTAACTTCAAAAGAACATAAAATACGGGAATCCAACAAATCAATGGAAATAAAACCTCCCTAAATTCACAATTGAAACTTCAATCATAATTAAGAAAATTTAGCTAAACATAGAACTAAATGTTGAGCATATAGTCATTAATGTGCAATCCAACTATTAGCTTAACTTTTGTTGAGATGGAGCACATACTTCAATTTGGTATCAGAGACCAACGAAACCCGCACACGTGAGGGGGCTAAAAGCTTAAGCTAATAGTCGGATTGCACATTAATGACTATATGCTCAAAATATAAGAAAAATGAAAAGAAAAATCTACTAAAATACATCAAAATAACTCTCATTTTATAGGATTCCAAATCAACAATCTTCCCTTCAATAACTAGTTCCTATAACAAATTCTTCAACTTCAAAAGATTGTTTTATTCCCTCTAAGAATGACCGGTCGAAGTTGCTTGGTCCAAAGTTCTTTCCGGCTTGCGCCTTCTCCATCCAGTCGTTATGGTAAAAAACGGAGTCGTTTCTTTAAGTAAAGAAACGGTCCGCCGTTAAAGTTAACGGAGTCCGTTTGTTTGGTGTATTAAACACCAACTGACACTACAGTATATTTAAACCGACACTGCAGTTATATCAAAATGATACTGTAGTTATAGTGAAATGAAACTGCAGTGTATATAAAATGAAACTGAATAACGTTTCACATATTTAAGTGTATATTGTACAATGAAGCTGTAATTATATCAAAATGATCATGTAGTTGTGTTTTAATGAAACTATAGTGTATATAAAATAAAATTAAATAACATTTTCACATATTTGAGTCTATAAATATCGAATGAAACTATAGTTATATCGAAATGAAACTGTAGTTGTGTTGAACTGAAACTGCAGTGTATATAAAATGACATTGAATAACAGGGTTACTTTTTTATGAAAGGGTGCGAAACGGCGGAAAACAAACACCGTTTCTTTTCATTTAAAAAAAGAACGCACGGTACATGATTACCGTGGTGCATGATATAATTTGCTTTCTCCATCTCGCGTCTGCAACATGTCCGTGCGTAGCCCAAAGAAAAGGAAACAGAACATGAGAACACATTAGAATGTAATTTGGGGCTTGCTAATTAAATATCAAGTGGGACCACAAAGCAATATAATATTTTTGTTTATCTAACTTAGCTTTATAAGCGTCTTTATTATTTTATTTACTAAGTTCTCTGAACCAAATATAACAAAATATACTAAAAACAATAAAATATAAGATACAAATACTGAAATTAAACTATAAAACTTTTTAAAATTAAAGATATAAAATATGCTCATCATTGTGCTGATGGCTTCTTGAGCTTCATTTATTTTGACAAATAAAGTGCTCAACAAGTTGTCCTCATCTTCTTGCCTGTCTTCGATTAGATTCCTTTTCAACTTCCACAAGTATTTTTCCAGTTCCTTTTCCTTTTGTCGAATTGGAATGGTAATCAACTGCATTTCTGACTCCTTCTCAATGGGATCGGAACTGCCACTGCTTCATCAATATTATCAGATTCACTGGATTCAGAAGACTCTAAAAGGACAATCTTCCTTCTCTTGGTTGATCTCAAACCTACAATTTGAACCTCAGCTTGAACAATAGCTATATCATTTAAATTTGCTTCTGAAACCACATATTCACTTCCATTCAAGAGCAAACATTTCTTCCGGCCTTCTCCATTTCTGGATCGGACCAACTTTTGAAACATGTGAGTGATAATTTTCAAGTCTCCAATTCCTCCATTCCTTTATTCTTGCAAGTTCACCAGTTGCCACATAAGGTACAATGGTAGTGATATTGTAAGATATATTAAGTATAATATATTTAATATAATATATATATTAAATATAATATAATATATCTATAATATATATTAAATGTAAAGTTTCTCTCTGCCCTGGTATCTAGGGTTTCTCTTTCTCTCTGCCCTGGAATCTAGGGTTTTTGCTACGTTTTTGCGAATCACGATCGACGATCGGAACTGGAGCTTGGTTCGACGTTTGGCATGGATACCCAGGACATAGTCGATAACACCGCTGATATTACGTTGGAGGATGAAGATCTGGGGGTGCGTTTTGAAGAGGAGCCGACGGGGGGGATTGATCATACAGTGCAGAACCAGACTTGGTCGATAGTGGGGCGATTATTAACGGATAGGCCGATCAGAACTGAGATGATGAAAAGGGTGTTGGCGTCGGTTTGGCGACCGCTAATGGGCATTGAGGTCGTGGATGTGCAGCCGAACCTCTTCCTGTTCACTTTTTTCGACGAGCCGGATAGGCGCTGTGTACTGGAGGAGGGGCCATGGGCTTTTGAGAATGCTACATTGCTATGCCAGCCTTTGCATGGTAATGATAACCCTACGCAGGTGGCGTTGAATACAGTGGACCTGTGGGTACAAGTTTTTGATCTTCGGATTGGATATCGTACCGAGAAGGTGTTGGAAAAGGTTGGGGACTTCGTTGGGGTATATTTGCGGGTGGATGATCGAAATTTCATGCGTCCGTGGGCTACTTTCTATCGGGTGAGGGTTACGCATGATGTGGCTATGCCTCTGAAGCGCCGCATGAAGATGATCCTTCGGGATGGCACGTGGGTGTGGGTAAACTTTAAGTATGAGCGCCTGCACATGTTTTGTTTTTTCTGTGGCAAATTGGGGCATACGGACAAGTTCTGTCTGGATGCGAGACGATCAACACTCATGCCCGAACAATATTTATACGGACCGTCCTTGAAGGCGGGAGGTACGAGATGGACCAAGGTGCTAGGTGAAAAGTGGTTCAGTCTTGGGCAGGAACGCCACCGCGAAATTGGGTACGGTGGGGCGTCGGGGGGAGAGGTGCGTGCTGTGGTGTCTGCCGGGCCAGTGGCTGGTGAGACGGCATGCCGGGGGGTAAAGGGCAGTTTGGGTGCGTGAGGACAGTACAGTGAGGGGTTTGGGTGGGGGCAGTCCAATGGGGGGTTCGGGTGGTGGGGTTGAGACGGATTTGGGGGTTCGGGTGGACCCCAAGAGGCGTTGGGGGGCGGATGGTGGTGTGGTGGTGTTGGATGGGGGCATGCAAGTGGAAACTACTCCTTCTTTTTTGGTGGGACCTGGGGACCAGGCCCGCCGTTCCCAATGAGTACCATGTTTTGGAACTGCCGTGGCTTGGGCAATCCACGGACGGTTCGAGAAATACAGGACATTGTGTCCAAAAGGAAGCCAGATTTTATTTTTTTGATGGAGACGATGGTGGATGGTAGTCATGCTGAGAGGTTACGAGTTAAACTGGGCTTTGAGGGGTGCTTCAAGGTAGATAGCGACGGTCGAAGGGGGGATTGTGCTTTTTATGGGCTAAGAACAATTACGCTAGCTTGATCAGTTATACTTCTAATCACATTGACTTGGTGTCCCTGCCGGGAAAACCACAATGGCGGCTCACGGGTTATTATGGCTATGCTCAGAGGAACAGGAGAAGGGCGTCATGGGACTATTTGAGGTCACTTAAGGGAGCTTCTGAGTTACCTTGGGTGGTTCTGGGGGACTTTAATGATCTGTTGGCCCAATCGGAGAAGAGGGGAAGATTGCCGCATCCGAATGGCTTGATTGAAGGTTTCAGTGAGGCGCTGGAGGACTGTGGTTTGTTGTCTCTTCCAATGATTGGCTATCCGTTTACTTGGGAAAGGGGCAAGGGTACTGTTGATTGGGTGGAGGAGCGGCTTGACAGGGTGGTGGCTAGTATGGATTGGCTGGGTTGCTATGATAGGGCGAGGTTGTACAATATTCGTACGGACTCGTCGGATTATTCGGCTCTTTTCTTGGATATTTATGGATTGGTACATGCTGCTAGGCCACGTAGTTTTCGTTTTGAGAATGCGTGGTTGCTGGATGAGGGGTGTAGGGGAGTGGTGGAGCAGGAATGGGCCAGTTCGCAAGGAATGGACATGCAGGCAAGGCTAAATCAGTGTAGTAGAGGCCTGAAAACGTGGGGTGGTGATCGGCATCACAAGTATGGTAAGCGTATTGGGGTGTTACGAAAGGAGATGGACAAGCTGCGAGCCTGTCGTGATCCGGTATCTTTGGCCGAGTTTGCACGATTGGACATTAATCTAAATATAGCCCTATCTCAGGAGGAGGCCTTTTGGAAGCAGCGAGCTAAGCAGCACTGGCTGCATGGTGCGGATCGTAACACCAAGTTCTTTCATAAGTATGCATCCCACCGAAAGAAGAAGAATGTTATTGAGAAGTTAAAGAGTGACAATGGGGTTTGGCAGGAGGGTCAGGCTTTGGAGTCTCTGGTTACTTCGTATTATAAGCAGATTTTTGCCTCGGGAGGTTCCCCTGGGCCTTTCAGGGTGGATTTTATGCGGGCTCGAGTGACTGACGCTCATAATGCTGATCTCTTACGTCCTTTTGAGCCAGAGGAGGTACGGGCGGCTTTGTTTTCGATGGGCAAGGATAAATCCCCTGGGCCGGATGGCATGAATCCTGGTTTTTACCAAGCCTTCTGGGATGTCATCGGTAAGGATATCACTGCTTTTGTGCTAAATTGTTTATCCCAGTCATCTTTTCCTGATTGTTTGAATGATGCGAACATAGTATTGATCCCTAAAAAATGTGTTCCTGAGCATGTTTCTGATTTACGCCCAATCGCTCCGTGTAATGTTATTTATAAGATCATGGCTAAGATGTTAGCGAATCGTATGAAACCCTTGCTTGAGAGTATTATTTTAGAATCACAAAGTGCGTTTCTGCCGGGTAGGTTGATCTCGGATAATATTCTGATTGCATCTGAGGCTGGACACTACTTGAGGAGGAAACAATTAGGCCAGGTAGGGTGGGCTGCGTTGAAACTTGATATGGCTAAGGCTTACGATAGGATGGAATGGTCCTTTGTGAATGATATGTTATTGGGTCTGGGTTTTGATGCAAGGTGGATACAACTGATTATGTTGTGTATTCAAACTGTGCGTTATAGGGTATTGGTGAATGGCAGGACTACAGAAGAGATTGTGCCTACAAGGGGACTACGGCAGGGGGACCCTTTGTCACCTTACTTATTCATAATTTGTGCAGAAGGTCTATCATTACTTTTGCAGGATTCACATGCAAAGGGCCTAATTCATGGTTGCAGGGTAGCCCGGGGGGCGCCACCGATCTCACATTTGTTTTTTGCTGATGACAGTTTACTCTACTTTAAAGCTAATCTGCAGGAAGCATTGGAAGTAAAGAGATGCCTAAGTGTTTATGAGTCCTTTTCTGGCCAGTCGGTGAATTTTCATAAATCAAACATTTCGTTTAGTAGGAATACTCACGAGGGTATGCGGGATCTTGTTTCAGGGGTTTTGGTGGTTTCTCAGGCTGAGGATTTCGGGAAGTACTTGGGATTGCCATCAGTTGTTGGCAGGAACAGGAGGGCGGTTTTTCCTTACATTGAGCAAAAGCTGAGACAGAGGTTCGGGTCATGGAACAAGAGGTTGCTGTCTAAGGCTGGTAAGGAGGTTCTGTTGAAGAGTGTTGCACAGGCCATGCCAACCTACACTATGAGCATCTACCTTATCCCGATCACTTTATGTGCTTCATTGGAGAGACTAATGAACAGGTACTGGTGGGGGCAGGGTGGTCAGGATAGCAGCATACACTGGTTGGCCTGGGATAGGATGTGTAAACCCAAGAAGCATGGTGGAATGGGCTTTAAACGGTTACATGAGTTTAATTTAGCACTACTGGCTAAGCAGGGGTGGCGGCTCCTAACAAACCGCACTTCTTTAATGGCTCGTGTTTTCAAAGCAAGGTATTTTCCGACTACATCTTTTTATGAGGCTGTTATGGGTGGTAACCCGAGCTATGTTTGGAGAAGCATTATGGCTAGTCAAGATTTATTAAAATCTGGATGCAGGCGCAGGATTGGTAATGGAGCATCTACACAGGTTTGGAAGGCTCCTTGGCTCCCGGATCGCCAAAATCCATACATTGAAACTGATCAGGTGGATCACGCCCATCCTATGCGTGTTTCGGACCAGATTGATTCCCACACGGGAACCTGGAACCATGAGATCTTGCATCACCTTTTTAATCCACGGGATGTAGATTTGATTTTGCGTTTGTCGGTGTGTATGGAATATGAGGATATATGGTACTGGGAAGGTGACATAAGGGGTTGTTATTCGGTTAAAGATGGTTACAAAAGGTTAGGATTTTTGAATCTCGACCCAGCATCGGTATGGAACAATGTTTGGAAGCTACAGGTTCCCCCCAAATGGAAGGTCTTTTTATGGAGAGCCTTATCGAATATATTGCCCTCCCTGGATAATTTGTTGATTAGGAGGGTTGACATTGTTAATGTCTGCCCATTATGTGGCTTAGTTGAGGAGTGTGTCATGCATATATTCTGCTTGTGTCCTTATGCTATTAATGTTTGGCAACTTTCTCAGTTTCAAATTCCCCCTTTTGTCAACAGGAATTTCTTACAGTGGACGGAGGAATGGCTTGGTGGTACTACGGGTTTTACACGTGAGCAACAAGGGAAAATTTGTGGCATACTTCATAGTATTTGGACTGCCAGGAATTCGACAGTATGGGAATCTGCCGTGCCTCTGCCAACGATGCTCATTCGGCGATGCTTGGCGAATTGGACTTCATGGGTGGATAGCCAGCAACGTATTTATGGAGAGAACAGCACCCGGGCAGTGCAGTCTCATGCATCTGGTGAGACTTCGGCGCCCTCAAGCCGGTGTTTTGTTGATGCCGGTTTTCACGGCCCCGAACGCTATGCAGCATTTGGATTTGTGGTATTGGATGCTAATTCTACCTTTGTGGCAGCGGCTAATGGCCCATTGCCGTGCCCATATGAGCCCCTATTGGCGGAAGCTATGGCAATATGTGAAGCCCTCTCTTGGTTGAAGGATAACGGATACTCAGGTGGCAAAATCTATACCGACTCAGCAGTTTTGGTTACACGTCTTAGTAATGCTAGTTCGTTTCACAATTATTTTGGTTTCATTCTTTTATCTTGTATTCGTTTGTTAATTGCTTTACCCGGTTCTCAGGTCTTATTTATTAATAGGGAGGCCAATCATGTGGCGCACTCCCTATCTAAACATGTATCTGCTCTGGCAGAATGCTCATTCTAGAGGGATGTTCCACCTCCTTTTATTCTGCCCCTAGTGGCTAATGCAATCTGATTCATTTGGCTTTCAAAAAAATCTATAATATATATTGAATATAATATATCTATATATTATATTTATATATATTGAGAAGAGAGAGAGAGAGAGGAATAGATAAGTGATTGTATTGATGATTTAAAATGCTTGAATATAAAGACTATTTATACTAAACAACAAAACTAACAAAGTATAAATTTAGGGAAGTAAAGCTCCCCATGTACCACATAGCTTTCATGTAATGCTGCCACATTCCCATTACACAACTCTACTAACTGCTCCTTATTCCCATTTACTTGGTTTAATAATAATTATAATAATATTATTACTATAACATTGCCTCCTTTAAACCAAGTTGGATATATTGGTCATCCCAATTTCCTTCTTCAACTTGATAAATGTCTCTGTCTTCAGCGGCTTCGTAAAGATATCTGCAACTTGACATTCACTTGAACAATACTCAATGTTGATTTGTTTTTCAACAACCAACTCTCTGATTTTGTGATACTTAATATCAATGTGTTTGCTGCGACCATGAAAGATTGGATTTTTGGACAGTGAAATTTCTGACTTGTTGTCACAAAAAATAGTTGTAGGTGCTTTCTGCTCGTGTTATAGGAACTCCAAAATTCTCCTCAGCCAAACTGCTTGAGTAGCACAGTTTGCTGCTGCAATATATTCTGCTTCTGCGGTTGAAAGTGTTACGATCTGCTGCTTCTTTGAAGACCAAGAAAATATGGCTGAACCAAGATAGAAGGCATATCCTGATGT